TCCTGCATGGATAAGTTGGTGTGATTTTAAGGCACTTGGCGAAGTATAAGACTTCCTGCACTCCCCACAGATGAATGGTTTAACCCCAGTGTGGATGAGATTATGCCTTGTCAAATGACTCTTTTCAGTGAAAGCCTTTCCACATTCACCACAGATGAATGGTTTAACTCCAGCATGGATGATTTGGTGTGATTTTAAGTCACTTTGCCGAGTAAAACACTTTCCACACTCATCACAGATGAATGGTTTAACTCCAGCATGAATAAGTTGGTGTGATTTTAAGACACTTTGCAAAGTAAAAGACTTTCCACACTGGTCACAGCTGAATGGTTTAACCCCAGTGTGGATGAGCTTATGCCTCGTCAAGTTACTCTTTTCAGTAAAAGCCTTTCCACATTCACCACAGATGAATGGTTTAACTCCAGCATGGATAAGTTGATGTGATTTTAAGTTCTTTTGGTGAGTAAAACACTTTCCACACTCATCACAGATGAATGGTTTAATTCCTGCATGGATGAGTTGGTGTGATTTTAAGACGCTTTGCGAAGTAAAAGACTTTCCACACTGGTCACAGCTGAATGGTTTAACCCCAGTGTGGATGAGCTTATGCCTCGTCAAGTTACTCTTTGTAGTAAAAGCCTTTCCACATTCACCACAAGAGAAGCATCTTTTCTTATTGTGGAAGCATTGGTGTCTCCCGAGCTGCCTCCTTGTGATAAAGCTCTTTGCACAAAGACCACAAGTGAATGATTTCTCTCTCTTTGCTTGTGTGAGGTTAGCATTGTCATCATCGGAAGAGTGCCGAGGTCTCTGTCGGTTGTTGCTTCTTTGTTCCTGTAGTGACATCAACAAACTAATGAGATGCCGTAAAGGAAAAAGGCTAACCTATGATGTGGATGAAGTTAATGCATTTTGATACCAGAGTTATCAAACTACACTGTGCAGAGTTACTAACATCTATATAAGACTCTGCTCAGGTACATTGATTCATATATTTTCTTTTGTTTATCTAAATCAGGGTAGCAGTTAGGCTGAAACCTATCCCAGGTGACCCTGGTTGAGATGGGAGGTACACACTGGACACCAGTCCAGTACACCAATCAATTGCAGAGCGACAAAGAGCCATTCACACCTACAGCCAGTTTACATTTTCTATTTAAGGAAGCCAGAGTACCTGGAGAGAACCCATATACCCAAGGGGAGAACATGAAAACTTCATTCCAGTGGATTTGAACGCAAGGATCTTTTTGATGTTAGGCGATTGTGCTAACCACCACCGGCCACCCTCAGACACAAATAATAAATATTTATTAGGTTTATTAGTCACTGTGGGTTACCTGTGTCAAAAGGTTCATTTAAAAAACATAATTTAATCTTAAGTTTGATGAAAATGTCACTTAAAGTACAGAGTTTAAAATCTCACTGCTACATGTCAGCAGCAGACTGCAGTCAACTAAATTCTGTCTTCTTATCCCTCCTAATTTAAGTTCATAGTGCTACCTATCACGGCCGCTGTAGGACAAACATCTCTATCTGTAGCGAGTGTAGGCTGTCATGTCAGTCTGATGTTTACATCACCTGGTGTCTGTCTGTATTTACTCTGGAGGAGGATGTAAATCTTTGTGAAAGGAGTCTGATAGTCAGTGAAGCTCACCTCTGACATATGACAGCAATAGGGAGTCAAGTTGTTGAGAATATTCTGTCCGTAAGTGTTGCTGCGAGCTGGCCAGTGTTAACCAGTTCTACAAACATTTCTTAAAAGTTCTTCGAACTCAATCAAACAATGCTGGACTCAGACACTTAGGAAACAAACTCTCATATAATCTGAAAGTGTAATCAATCTGGTCAGCAGCGGAAAAGATGCTTATTTATTCCAGATATTGTTACAATTTCAAATTTTTCTGCAGATTAGGCATCTGACCCTCACCTCAGCATAGTGGTCACAGGAGTGAGCCTCACTGACTCCCTCTAAATAAAATCCATTCAAAGTTTTGCCTCATCCACAGTAAATAGTGGATGTTCCACACCTGGCATTATGAAGTAAACTGTGATCTGACAGCGTGCGCCCACTAAATAAACACCAGGCAGAACATTTGAAGTTACTCTGGGGTGACTGCTTAAAATAAAATGTCAAATATCACAAAATATTTAACTGTCACATATAAAGTACAGTGGGAAGATAATATAGTAGCTTCCACAAACCAGCGCCCAATTCTACGTTTATGAGAACGCATCAGTTTGTTGGAAGATGAAAATTATACACATATTTATGAGCAAAACATTCTGCCGTTATGTAATTGCAACTAAAGAAATACTTGCTGCACCTTTAAATGTAATTTAAATGTAGTTTATGAAGAATGTGGATAAGATATGCATTGTGCTTGACTTTTTTCAATTGACAAATATTCTTTTGCTTTTACTGAATAAGTTACAGATTTTAAACAGCTGTCTAACAACAACAGATGTTCAACAGATACACACAATAACATTAACAAAAGACAGATTTTTTTACCTTTTGTGAAGAATCCATTCAAGTCTCCTCTTCCTATCACCAATCACCTGTGAGATTAAACACATTGGAATTACCAGCACCGATTAACCAACCAGTGGGCCGGATTGGAGTAATGACTTATGTTTGAAACCCCTGAGCTTCATGCAAATTTGACTGTTGGGATAAACATCCAACAAAACTCTGCAGATACATTTTGTGCATCCACAAATACCAGTTGAAGCAGATAATATAATTTGAAAATTAAACTGAATGCTAATTAATGCCCCTCAGTCTAGCAGGTCCAAATCCATCTGAACCCAAGAGCCAAGCTTTTGGGTCTGGGGGTGGCTTTAAAGAAGGTCATCCTGAGGGTTGAATCCTGTGAATCCTGATCCCTCCCTGCAGGAATCACTTCTGTACAAAGTTCAACTTATTTTTCATCACAATAGCAACAGATCAGGTCTTAGTGAAAGCTGCAAGAGCATTCAGCAAACTAAAAGTCACAAAGGCTCTGAGACCGTACTCACACAATCACAGAAATACCACTTAAGTACAGTTTGGTTAAAACATTCTAATAATTGAAGCAAGTAATAGAAAACACCCTCACACAATAATAATACCTAGTTCTGATGGTTTCTGCTGCTTTTCCAGTTTACTCCAGGAAAAAAAACCACCCCCATTCACCATTCCCGGCAGTTTTTCAATTTTTTAAAATTACTTTTTTTTGCCAAACTTCCAAGGGTTTTCTTCCCTTTTGGGGGGGGCCGGGGCCCAATTTAGGAAAACTCTGTGAAGAAGCTTTAACAATTTTTGGCTCATTAATCAAAGAGCACAAACAGCTTTTCTCACCTCTGCAGATAAACAGACATTACCAACTCGGTTCTCCACCAAGTAAGAATTCTCCAGGTGAACAACTTTGGTTTGATTGGAGGTTGTTCCACCAGTTCAGAGCTGATTTGGCTCCACCTGCTGGTCTGGAGTTTAAAGCAACAAGCAGGAAGATAAAGGTTCTCTTCTTAGTCCTGCTGACAAACGGTGACATGTGATTTACTCAAATACTGGAGCCTACTTATAGACAAACTTGGGCCCCCTTTGTTACTGTTTCTACACCTTATTTTTTAATTTGGAAAATGCATACATGACTATTAAATTAAATTAAATAAAGTGGGTATCAGACATCCATTCAGAGATTTTAGAGAATTAATACATATAAGATATCAGCTAAGAAACTAAACGAAGACACAATAATGCGATTAAAATAGATGAGATGACGGCACTGGTAGTCAGGAATTCCAGATTAAATAGGTAAGTATTCAACCATGATTTGAAAGATTGAATAGAGTGCAAGGCACAAATAGTTGCATGAAGGTTGTTCGTGAGGTTAGGTGCAGCTGAGACAAAAGCACAATCGCCTCGGGTCCTCAGCTGAGACCTAGGTTGTGCCAAGAGTAACTAACATGATGATCTTAGTGCTAGACAGGAGTGTACAGGCTGAGGAGGTCAGTGAGATACGATATTTGATGGGTATCCAATATAAGTCAGCTAGAACTGGAGTGATAGAAGCAAACTTTCCAGTTCCAGTTAGGAGGCGAGCTGCAGCATTTTGAACAAGCTGTAATCTGTGAAGAGGGACGGATTGGACATAATAATCTGGAAGTCACTAAAGCATGGATACATTTTTCGAGATCCTTGTGTGGTATAAAATTGATAAGATTTGGTGCAGTTGGTAGAAGCCAGATTTAACTACAGAGGACACTTGTTTATCAAGATTAAATGAACTTTCCAGGAAAACACTTTGATTGCTTATAGTGTCAGAGAGAAAGCTGACAAGATGCCCAACTAGAACAGCTCATTCTGAGGAATATGACTGTTCTGAGTCCCTGCCTCCATGTACTTATGCAATTATTTACTGGACAGCTGAACAGGTATGTTTATAAATAATATTATATTGGGCCAATTTTCTTATACACATTTTTGACCTGGGTGTAGAATTAATTGCTGATTGTCACCTTTAGAGTACGCCAGGGCAAAAAACTGAGAAAAACTCTTTAAGCAAAGAGAACAAACAGCTTTTCTCGCCTCTGCAGATAAACAGACACTAACAACTCAATTGCTCTACAGGTAAGAATTCTCCAGGTGAACTTTGGATTTATTGGAGGTTGTTCCACCAGTTCAGAGCTGATTTGGCTCCACCTGCTGGTCTGGAGTTTAAAGCAACATGTAGGAGGTTCTCTTCTTGGTACTAATGAACAAAACAAATGGTTTTTATTGAACAGCAATACTGATTTTACAGAGAGGGGGTTTGGGAACTGGTTTCCCAAAAGCATTGCAAACAGGTGCTCTGCTCGAGAGGACAGGGTATGATAGGAGCTAACATAGTTTTGAAATGTTTGTAATTGAGTTTAGAGGCTTAACTAAACACTAAAACTCCTGTTTCAGTTTCTGAGCTACAGCTCCTTCACTTCAGTCCACGACCAGACAATATTTAAAACAGTTGTCCCCATCATGGTCCCTGTAACAATGACCAACCAGTGTTGTATAATAAGTGGATAATAGTTTACTTACTTTTGAACTCAGACAGCACTCATAGAGATTACATTATGTGACTGTAAAACATTTACCTGCAGTAACAACTTTTTGCCACATGATGTAGCCAGTGAGTCAGATTACATCAAGCTCACTGGGTGTGTTGCAGGTTATTGTTAAATTTTCCACGACACAGCTTAAGGGGCTCAAGAGGTAGGTGACCCTCTATGATTATACAGCGAGAAAGGCCTCAAGCCTTTTATGCAAATATCAGCATATGTAGCATCCACAGAAACCTTAGAATCTCAGCTAAATGCATATTTAACCCATTTCTACAACCACCAAACACAGCGAAACAAGCAATGATTGTATATATGTAAATACACAAAAGTCCGCTAAAAACACCCAAACTCTCCAGACTTCATGTAACACTATAAATAATGGCTTGTTAGCACGCAGAGCTATCACCTATTCCAAACATCAAGTTTCACCACGCTCCAACCAAAATTCACTGAACCAGACGCAAAAGAAGAACCTAAAAGCACAAAGGCACAATATTTATTTATTAATAGTACTTTAATGTTTCACTGTTTCACTTTAGAAGCATAAATCTTTACACAGATGGTGCTTATATGTTGATTTACTGAATATCTGTATTACAATGTGAACTAAAGCTTGTATTCTGCTGACAGGTGAGTGCCTGGCAGAGTAGTCGAGGAACCAGGAGGAGTCACCTTTGGAGAAAAGGGGAAATAAATATCACTACAACACATACACTGACAGATGGATAGAGAGGGGGGAAACCAAGAGTGAGAGAAAAAGATGGGGA